AATTTCATTCAGAATCCGAAGTTATGCAATCGAATATCTGTGTTAGGTAAATATCGAGAAAGCAGTTCTTTTTCTTCAACTGGTATCGTTGAGACGTACATAGGTAGATGTAAGAGATGATAGATCATTTAATATTCAATCGTATTTTATATTCTACAGGGTGGTTGGTAGCTGGTGGTACAAGCGGAAAGGGAGTGATTCTACGCGGAAAAAGAAGTCGAAAATATAGAATAAAAATTTTTCGTTTGAGGCTTTGTTTTCGAGAAAATCGACTTTGAATTTTCGCTCTGTACGCGTGCACTTTATCACGTTTCGTTATAACGGGTCTCACTGTAGATCGTTGTCTCGATGGAAAAATTAAAAAAAAAGAATTTTTTTTAAATTTTTATTCTATATTTTCGACTTCTTTTTTCGCGTAGAAGCACCCCCTTTCCGCTTGTACCACCAGTTACCAACCACTCTGTATAGGGTGAAATACGTAGTACGTGCATTCAAATACTTTTCGACATAGAATGTTCCCAAGAATTGACAAATATAGCTCCAAACGACCTTCATATGTCTTCTACGTATGTTCCTACAAAAGAACGAATCGTGTCAAATCGTATTTCCGAAACCATCCAAGTTCTACTTGCAACATTCTTAATTGAAATTGAACTGGATTTGATTACATGGTAATAGTTTTAATGCAAAATCATGCATTAAGGGTATGATAGAATAAAGTATAGTACAAAATGTGTATCATTGGAATGATCATGGCCGCTACTGTATACAACCTGCCATTTCAACTGGACTTGGCAAACGCACGCATACATTTTTATATAAGAGAATGAGCAACTTATAATAGAACACGTTGAAAAAACGTATCTTCTAAACGGTCTTTAAACTTCAAACACACCTTCGCAATATTAAGCGTTGTCCATCTAACAGTAGAATGCCTAAGCGGTAGCGAACCAGCATCCAAATATTCGAAACTATCACTCATTTTGCAAAAGTATCGAATGTTTCTATTAAAAAAGAGAAAGTACTGGGTACATTGAAGTTTGAAATGAAGAAAGAAAGAAAGTGTATTTCATAAACTACAGATATAAACAGCTAATTAGGAACGAATAACAATACCATCAATATTTTCCAATGTCAACGATCCAATGTCAGATACTATTTAGAAAAATAAAAAATGTTATACGAAAATGAAATACAAAATGTATAAAAGCGATAACACCCATAGAAAAACTGACAAAATTTTTAACGTAAATGCAGGACCATAAAATTTCATATACAATATTTATAATTATACATAAAACAATTAAATGTATAAAATTAAATCAACTGAACTAGCTGTAAAAATTGAATTAATAATTTGGAAAATTGAGATAATTAGACTTAGAATGATCATGGACTAAGTAAGACATTTTAGATATTCTCAAGGTGGTAAGGAGGTATATGTATGTTGTGCTGTTGTTGTCAAGTGCTTCAATGGTTGTATTTCGATAAGAATATATGTAAATGAGGCGGACATATAGGTGGCTATTTAATGCAATTCAGACGTTGTGTTGTTATGAAAGCGACGGCCTTCCACCGTACATGCTGCATGTTTATAGAAAATCTCATTTGAACTTGTTAACCGTATTAGCCCTTACCCAAAAATTTCTTTAATTATGAACTCAAAATTTAATGGTGAAAAGGAATCTATTTCAATTACGTCAGTTTTAGTGCTTCTAAATGTATGACACAATTTAGTTTTAACGAAAATGAAACTACATGCAAAAAATAAAAGATATCAAAATAGGGAAACTACATTATTATTAGAGAATTATTTATTTTTTGCAACAAATAAATTAGCGTGCAATAAATCAATCAGATCCGTAACAGTTTGAATAGCATAATTTCTTTATTTATATATCTCCTATATTCTAACACGTGATTCTGTTTCAATTAAAAATCAAACAAATCATATATTCTATACATAGTTAAAAAAATTAAAATTATCCTACTTAAAATAAATATCTCTTTATTAATTTTTAATTTAATCATTATGGAAATGTTTAGATAAGCATTAGATTAAGCATTAGATAAGCATAGATTAAGATCAACTATCGTTGCATTTTGCATGACCGTAGGATTAAGTTCAATAGGGTTGATTGCCTTTAACGAACACGCTCTTGGTGGATTGGTCCTCCCTTCTCACGAGAACACGTGGGAAATGGAAGACAACACGGGTACGAATCTACCGTTCTTGAAGAGACTGCGCAATTTCGTCAACATGTGGTGTAACATATACTACCACTACTATACGCTCATTCCTAACCAACAGAAACTGGCCGAGAAATATTTTGGGCCTCTACCACCAATGCTAGACGTATTGAAGAACGTTAGCTTGCTTTTCATGAATCAGGCCGATGTTATGATAGCGGCTCGACCGAAACTTTCCAACATAATCACGTATACATCATCCCACATAGAAAAGAAGCTGACTCCCCTGCATAAGGTGAGGTTTATACAATGACATACAATGATTCATTTATTTATTAAATACGGCTTTATCTGGTACAAATATAATTTTATCACTTGTATGTGTAGTAGAATCATAAGGTATGGGAAGGCAAAATTGTAGTTTGAGACTGAACGATAACTTGAGTAAATTGCATATGAGGTTCCACCTCTTCTAGAATCATTGATGATTTTTAACTGTTAATTAAGTTCTAAATTTTGCTAAATAAGCATTACAAAGGCCCTAAATAATAATATCACTAATTTCTTTTTCGTTAATGCCTCTAATGTAACGCAATTTTTACACACACGTGTCTTTCATCAGGATGTTCTATTTTGTCACAGGACTTACAAGCATTTCTGGATGGCGCCACAAATGGGTTCATCTACTTTAGCCTTGGTAGTAACGCAAGAAGTGCAAGTTTACCACTGGAGATCCGACGCGTGTTCTGCGATGTGTTCACCAAGTTGCCTTACAGAGTTGTCTGGAAATTCGAGGAGGATTTTCCCGGGAAACCTGATAATGTTTACGTCGGAAAATGGTTCCCACAACAAACTATTCTCGGTATGATTTTATTCTCTACGAAATATATATACATCGTAGATACTATTCCTCGATTATAAAAGGTCTAACGGATCATACCAACCCGCAGCTCATCCGAACATTAAATTGTTCATTTATCAAGGAGGCCTGCAGAGCAGCGAAGAGGCCGTCCATTATGGGGTACCAGTTCTTGGCTCCGCGATTTTCGCCGATCAAGATTATCAAGTAGCCAGAATGGAAGCTCTGGGCATTGGAAAATATTTGGAAATTACAACCCTTAAGAAAGATGAACTTGAAAATGCTATTACAGAGCTTATAACTAACAAAAAGTAAGTATATACCGACTTTCTGTTATAATTGTGCCATTTTTAGGAATTTAGCACTAGAACTACCCAATCTGCGAAAATGACGGTGGAATTTCAGAGTATTCGTTCTTCTAATCACACGATCCTTTTGGAAAAATTTATTTGGATCCCAACTAATCAGAATTTTTGGAATAAAGTTTCTTGTGTTCTAAAGTATTATTTCTGCAAGTTGGTCGAGATTGTAGATTCATACCAATAACGAAAGGAAGGCAATCAAGTTATTTTCATATTGAAAAGTATTCCAAATGGAAAAGGAATTAATAGAATGGAATTTTGAAATCTTCTTAGCTACTAAATTATTCTAGTAAATCTTTCAATGATATTGGTCGATGATAATGTACTATTGTGATTTTCGGCTGAACTTATTATGCTTATTTTCAGGTACAAAGAAAGGATACTTTACATCCGAAATGTCGTTCAGGATACACCGTACGATCCGGTAGAGAATCTCGCTTGGTGGACAGAGTACGTGATACGAACGAAAGGCGCCCCTCATCTTCGCAGTAGTCTAGCTTTTCAGCCTTGGTATCAACGTTGCGATATGGACATTGTAGTGTTCTTAACGATCACAATTTTCTTGATCGCTTCAATTACGTTTTATTTAACTTCCAAGATTGTTGTCTACATTCATAAGAAAATGAAATCAACTGAGAAGCAAAAGACAAACTAAGTATTTATGACGCAATTAATTGAAGAGAGGTACTTATAGCACAATTCAGTCCAAGTGACGCAATTGTTTAACATTTCGTTTCAACGAATGAATTTTAATATTATAATAATTTTATAATAGTTTTGTTAAGGAAATGATCATCTCGCGTTTTATAATTGGCGAGATACTCTGGTCAAAAGACTAACCATTCTGGCACGAAAAATCTTCCAAATATAAAAAGAAGTTCGAATAAGATTGAAATCCCATTTATATATTGTTAATCTCTTGATTGAGATTTTTTGACCAAGCGACAAGTTTAGTCTAAATTATCATTAATCCATGATATCGTCGCTTTTCTCTCGGTGAATGAGATAGCGCAAGCAGAAATTGCATTGAAATCATAGGCATGTCAAAGTATGGGGTGTTAAAGTATTGAGATATATAAAAATATATTTATACATCTGTCTGTCGCGTTCCTGAAGTTATTTCGTTTGTTTCCGAATTTATTGTCTTTAACTGTAATGCGTCTTTTGTTATCGGGAACGAAAACGAAATGCTTTAAACGTTATATTACAAGGGAACAGTCAGTATCGTTGGCAATATGTTTAACTCTTTCGTTACGGCAGTGTGCTTCGTCGGAGTGATACCGCCGTACGGGCCGCCGTGCCCGGTACTGAACGGAGCACTGTGACGGAAAGCGTTCATATGTTGCGCGAAGCTCATGCTTAAGTGGTATCCGACGGACGTCGTCTATTAGCGACGCTCGTACACACAGGTCATCGCGCGGACGTCGTCTATAGGCGATGTTCGTAATGAAAGGGTTATTCATCTGATTATCAGATAGTCCCTGTTCTCCGCTTAGGTGTCTCAGGTTATCCAATAAAATTGTCCGTTAAGCGTCCAAAACGTCAATGGTAACTGATATTAGAATTTTTAAAAATCGAAGACGTTATGTAGTTTTTCGAAATATATTCTTTATATTATAATACATCTTTATCGTAAGCATATTTTATAGTAAACATTTCTGTTACGCGCAGATATCCAGCACGTTTTATTATATACAAAATTTTAATAAATGTTACATATTTCTAATAAATACCACAATTCTTATATCTGCAACTCATCCTTGCCATCATTTATCTTACGAGTAATTATTGCAGTATCCCTATATTTAAAAACAAATAATCGTTGCCATTCCTTTTATCTCACGAACAAATAATCCTTATCAGAACTTTTACTTGATGGCAAATTATCTTTGTCAAGCACTTTATTTTACTGGCAAATACTTGTCAGCCGCCGTTCAGATGGCAAATAATCTTTGAAGTTATATCTCTCTAGCCTGGCATTTCGAACAATTTCTCCTATAATAACAAAAGATATGTACCTGAAAAGAATTTTGTAGTATTGTTACAAGTACTTAGCAAAGCTTCGAACGATTTAAATTCACATGATATCTTCATATTCTATTCACAAAACATTGATAAAGTATCGTTATAAAAAATATAGTAGCAAAATTCTAATCATTAATTAAAATATTGTTCATATTTAATTTTTGCGTATTAAAATTAATATGGACAGAAATATCCTCAGAAATGGAACAGATCCGTTATGTTCTGTTATGAGCGTTTATGATAAAAGTGAACGTGCATTAAAGCCTGTTGCATACGAAGCTTTGCATTTTGATTTATGACAACACTATAATAGTAGTCTGCGTTAACATTTTAATACTGTAAACCGGTAATAGAATGCAACTGTATATTTCTAATAATCTTCTTCGTGATGTTTATTATTTGCTGACTTGGTCCTTTTATGTTAATAAGTGATTTCTGCAGTTGCCATTTGATCGATGAAATAGCATTATGTACTAAATATGATAGTAAGTTGTATGATTGCAACATGGTTATGCAATGTTATATTACATGACATAGAGATAGAGATACTATACTTACAATTGATTTTCTATCTCGCTATTACATTCGTACAAGGGTTCTTTTTATAATAATTTTATAATAATATTTATCACACTTCCTCGTGTTTCTAACCCGTATTGTATTTTCTATAGGAAAAGCAAACAAATAATGGTGAACGCTATAGGCAGCAAGAAGCTTATATTTTTCACGATTACTGTCAAAAATAGTCATGTATATATCCGCATTACGGATTGTAAACAATTTTTTGCAAATCCTCGAATTTCTGTATCACTATCGATTTGTACAAACACGAATTTTACAAATAGTGAACAATGCATTAAATTGTGTAACATATGAAATTTTGACAAATATGTCGTATAATATATAATATAAATAATATACTAAACAAATATTAATACAAATCTGTAATTTAATAATCGCTGCTAAGGTCTATATGATATGTTTGATATGATATATTAGAACGTAGACGCCGGAGCAACATATCCATCGCGCATACGTACATTGCAATTATATATAGCAATAGTTAATAGTAGTAGCAGTATGCGACGGTAATTTAGAGATAACGGATACTATTTTAAAATTGCAGTACATACCGATATCGTATCATCAATGATAAATTGCGTAATATGACGATAGCTTGGAGATGTCCCTTTTAATAGACCCGTAAGCGGGATCAGCTTCAGTTTCTCTCGATACGACGAATATGAAGCATCACCTCTCTAGTCTGTTGTTCGTTCTGTGCGTCTTGTGCATCGCGAAGCAGTCGGAATGTTACAAGATTCTTGCCATCGTTCCGACACCATCCTACAGTCATCAAATACCGTACCGACGATTATGGCTAGAACTACACAAACGAGGTCACGAAGTTGTGCTAGCCACGTCGGACCCTATACCAAATATCAAATCACCGAATTTTACGCAAATCGATATTAGCCAGTCTTACGGAATCATAAAGAAATTAGATTTTGTTCAAATGCGGTTTGAGGGAAAACGCTGGGCCTATTTTGTCGAAGAAGAAATGTTGCCTATGACCAAAGTTTTTGCAGAAACTGTGTTCAATTCTACAGAACTGCGGAAGCTGTATGCTCCAGACAGCAACGCAACGTTCGACGTCTTCCTGACGGAGTTCCTATACCTGCCATCCACTTGCGCTTTCGCACATCGATTCAATATTCCAATAATAGGTACGTCTTTAACAATTATTTTTGTATTTATTAGTTTCGTTACCTTTATTTCGTTTTGAAAATCACGAATATATAGTGTGAAGCACGTGGAACGTACCCCTTAATACTTTTCGACGTAGAATGTTCCGACATGTGTAAAATGATCTTTGAACGACCTTTATATGTCTTCTTTGCATGCTCCTAAAAAGAACCAATTTTGTCAGAAACCATGCTGCAGAAACTATTCTAGTTCTATCTGAGATATTTTTCATTGAAATTCAACTGGTTTTAGTTATATAGTAGTAGTTTTAATAAAGAATCATACATTAACAGTATAATAGAACGTTCCATTATGCAACCTACTTTCTCAATTGCACTTGGTATATACACGCACACGCACACGCACACGCACACCAGATCTTCTATGAGAGTGTCAGGAACTTGCAATATAATCTATTGAGAAACATACCTCTAAATGGTCGTTAAAATTGAAACACATGTTCGCGTCAATAAGCGACAATATAAAGCGTCGTCCACCGAACAGCGCAATGCCTAAGCGGCACCGAAACAGCATCCAAATATTCGAAACTATCACTCATTTTGCAGAAGTATCGAAATTTACTATTAAACGTATGGCTGTAATAGCATTGTTGCCTATTCGATAAGGAGGAAGGTAATAGAAAAAACAGGAAGAGAATGTACTAGGTACATAGAAGCTTGAAGCTAAGAAACAACCAAAATGAATTTCATTAACTATATGTATAAGCAGTTAATTAGGAACGAATGGTAATACCATCAATATTTTTCAATGTCAACGCTCCAATATCAGATATCATTTAAAAAAATAGAGAATGTTATCGAATACAAAAATTATAGCAGCAATAACATCCATAGAAATACTGACAGACTCCTTAACGTAAATGCAAGACCATAAAATTTTATATACAATATTTATAATTATATATAAAACAATTAAATGTATAAAATTAAATCAACTGAACTAACTGTCAAAATTGAAACTACTTAAATTAATAGTTTGAAAATTTGAAATAATTAGACTACGTAAATAAAACATTTCGATAAGATTACATGTAAGTGAGGTGGACATATCGGTGGCTATTTAATGCAATTCAGATGTTGCGCTGTCACGTAGGCAACGGCCTTCCACCGTATACGCTTTATGTTTATAGAAAATCTCATTTTAACTTGTTAACCGTGTCATCCCCCATCCAAAAATTTCTGCAATCGTGAACTCAAAATTTAATGATGGAAAGAAATCTATTTCAATTACGTCAGTTTTAGTGCTTGTAAATGTATGATACAATTTAGTTTTAACGAAAATGAAACTACATGCAAAAAATAAAGGATATCCAAATAGGGAAACTATAATATTATTAGTGAATTATTTATTTTTCCAGGCTAATAAATTAGCGTGCAATAAATCAATCAGATTTGAAACAGTTTGAATAGCATAACTCCTTTACTTATAGAACTATATTTTAATACCTGGATCCATTTCTATTAAAAATCAAGCATATCATATATTCTACGTGTTATAAGATAATAATTATAGAAACGTTTAGATAAGGAGTGATTTGATTAATAGATTAAATCAACCCTCATTACATTTTGCATGACCGTAGGGTTAAGTTCATTAGGATTGGTTGGCTTTAACGAACACGCTCTTGGTGGATTGATCCTACCGTCTCACGAGTACACGTGGGAAATGGAAGACAACACGGGTACGAATCTATCGTTCTTCAAGAGACTGTGTAATTTCGTCACCATGTGGCGTACCATCTACTACATCTATCATGAGATGGTTCCACACCATCAGAAATTGGCAGAGGAATATTTTGGGCCTCTGCCACCATTGCTGGACTTATTGAAGAACGTTAGCATGCTTTTCATCAATCAGGCAGACGTTATGACACCGGCTCGACCGAAACTTGCGAACATGATCACGTTTACGGCTTCCCACATAGACAAAATTCCGAAAGCTCTGCCTAAGGTAGGGTTTATACAATAACGTAAAATTTATGTGTATATTAAATAAGGATTTATCTAGCACAAATACAATTTTATTACTCGTACGTTTAGTAAAATTATAAATTGTATAGGAAGGATAACAGCAAAACTGTAGTATGAAACGATATGACGAATTGGGTAAGAGGCATTAGGTAGCTCTAGTTCTTTTTAATATTGTTCAAGTTTTTTACTTGTTAATTAACTCATAAATTTTTCTATACCGGCATTACAAAACTCATGAATAGTAACAGAACTAACTTCCCCTTAGTTAATATTTTTTATGTAAAATCTACTCTTTTACACACACGTGTCTTTCATGAGGATGTTCTATTTTGTCACAGGACTTACAAGCATTTCTGGATGGTGCTACAAATGGGTTCATCTACTTCAGTCTTGGTAGTAACGCAAAAAGTGCAAATTTACCACTGGAGATCCGACGCATGTTCTGCGATGTGTTCGCCAAGTTACCGTACAGAGTTGTCTGGAAATTCGAGGAGGATTTTCCCGGGAAACCTGATAATGTTTACATCGGAAAATGGCTACCACAACAGAGCATTCTCGGTATGATCTTATTCTCAATAAAATATTTACACATCGCAGATACTACTCCTCGATGAAAAATGATCTAACGAATCATATTAACCCACAGCTCATCCGAACATTAAGCTGTTCATTTATCAAGGAGGTCTGCAGAGCAGCGAGGAGACCGTCCACTACGGAGTACCAGTTCTTGGTTTTGCAATTTTGGCCGATCAAGATTATCAAGTAGCCAGAATGGAAGCTTTGGGCATTGGCAAATATTTGGAAATTACAACCCTTAAGAAAGATGAACTTGAAGATGCTATTACAGAGCTTATAACTAACAAAAAGTAAGTATAAACTGACTTTCTGTTATAATTGTGCTATTTTTAAGAGTTTGACACTAGAACTACCTAATCTTTAAAAGTGACGCACGAGTTTCAGAGTATTCGTTTTTGTAATCACACGATCCTTTTGGAAAAATTTGTTTGAATCCCAATTAATCAGAATTTTTGGAATAAAGTTTCCTGTGTTCTAAAGTATTATTTCTGCAAGTTGGTCGAGATTGTAGATTCATACCAATAACGAAAGGAAGGCAATCAAGTTATTTTCATATTGAAAAGTATTCCAAATGGAAAAGGAATTAATGGAATGGAATTTTGAAATCTTTTTAGCTACTAGATTATTCTAGTAAATGTTTCAATGATATTGGTCGATGATAATGTACTATTGTGATTATCGGCTGAACTTATTATGCTTGTTTTCAGGTACAAAGAAAGGATACTTTACATCCGAAATGTCGTTCGGGATACACCGTACGACCCGGTAAAGAATCTCGCTTGGTGGACAGAGTACGTGGTACGAACGAAAGGCGCCCCTCATTTTCGCAGTAGTCTAGCTTTTCAGCCTTGGTACCAACGTTGCGATATGGACATTGTAGTGTTCTTAACGATCGTACTTTTCTTGATCGCTTCTACTACCTTTCATTTAATAGCCAAGATTCTCGTCTACATTCGTAAGAAAATGAAATCAACCGAAAAGCAAAAGACAAGCTAAGTATTTATGACGCAATTAATTGAAAAGAGGTACTTATAGCACAATTCAGTCCAAGTGACGCAATTGTTCAACATCTCATTTCAACAAATGAATTTTATCTAGTTTCGTTATGGAAATGATCATCTCGCGTTTTGTAATTGGCGAGTTACTCTGGTCACAAGACTAACGATTCTGGCACGAAAAATCTCTGAAATATAAAAAAGTTCGATTAAAATCGAAATCCCATTTATACATTGTTAACCTTTTGATTGAGATTTTTTGACGAAGCGTCAAGTTTAGTCTAAATTATCATTAATCGATGATATCATCGCTTTTCTGTCGGTGAATGAGATACCGCAAGCTGAAATTGCATTGAAATCATAGGCATGTCAAAGTATGGGGTGTTAAAGTATTGATATATGTAGATATATTTATACATATATCTTGCGTTCCTGAAGTTGTTTCGTTTATTTCCTAATTTACTATTTTTAATTGTAACGCGTCTTCCGTTATCGGGAACGAAAACGAAATACTTTATACCTTCTATTACAAGGGATCCATCAGTATTGCTGGCAATGTGTTAATCATCTGATTATCGGATTGTCTCTGTTCTTCGCGAAGATATCTCAGTTTAGGCAATAAAAGTCTACACATACTGTTCCGTTAAGTGAAACAAAACGTCTATGATGATTCATATTGGAATTTAAAAAAATCTAAGGCGTCGCTTTTGGTATTCGAAATAAATTCTCTTTAATTGAAACAAAATTATGTAGAAAAAATCGTAAGACCAAAGATAAATATAGTAATAATTAAAGTAGAGTTATTGACGGAAAGAATAATCTTTAGTAACGTTCTTACACTGTTTATCTTTATCATTGTATTCCAATACTTTACGTTTGGATTACAGACTTTGACGTTTTATTGTGTACATACAACTAAAGAAGAAATTTTACATAAGCGTAGATCGCTTTAGACGTTGTCAAAAAATTGTTATAAAAATACAAAATGCAGAATTAAATTTATTACCCTGCAAAGTTCGTCTTTCATTTTATTTGTTTGATATATTTTATGGCATATTTTTCTGTAAAGAAATTTCCCTTGATTTTCCCTTACAGGAGCTTGGGAATTCCAGTTACAAAAGGGGTAAAAAAGATAAGTATTCTTTGTTGAAAAACGATCGCTGCATTTCAGAATCACATTTGACAATTTACTAACGGCATTCATACAAATTACAATACACAATTACAATATTTTGCAAATCTCAAATGGGAAAGATAGATCACACAGATAGATAAAAGTGACTGATCTATTTCGTCTTTATAATATAACACATCCTTATAGTAAGAATACTTCACAGAAACATTTCTGTTACGCACATGTATCCTGCACGTTTTATTATATAGAAAATTTAAATAAATATTTCATATTTCTAATACATATCATAATTTTTATACCAGCAAGTGATCCTTGCCATCATTTATCTTACGAGCTAGTTATTCTAATAATCCTTTACTTGGTAGCAAATAATCTTTGCCATCTCTTTTATTTGACATGCAAATTATCCTTATCAGCAAATACATCTCTCGACCCTAGTATCTCGAATAATTCCTCTTATAGTAACTGTTTGTTCGACCAATCGCGGGGAGACGTAGCCGCTAGGAGAGACGTCAACGGGAGTCGTAAATTCTCGTTACGATTATAACAATCGACACCACGACTTGATCGATCCCCTGATTTCCGTTGAGATAATAGGGGTGATTGAGTTTGTATAACACTGTGATTCACAGAATTATAAATTATATATTTCCAACACTTAGATTACACTGATGAGCATAGATAGATAGATAATCACTTATCGCACGAAGATAAGATAGATATGTACGTTAGAGCAGGGCTCTTATAATTGCATTTAATGTATTAGTGGACGTAGCACTATAAGATATTTAGGAGAGCAAACGTATGCTCGACGATACCGAGACCGACTCTCGCGTTATGTTTAGACTGCCCCGATAGGCATTAGCGTTAGACTTAGTAGTTGACTTTTCCAACGATGTAGAAGAAGTGAAGTTGAATGACGATGCTGTGTCGGAGGAAAGCTAGTGATGGGTGTGTCTAGCGCACGGGACCATCGGCTTTGTTCATGCCATTTTAGGCCAGGAAGTGAG